TTCGTCCTTTAACTCTAGGTCAAAGGCTGGATAGCTTGTGTACGGATACTCAGCATTCAGAGAAGTATATTGTTGGTACAACAGCAAAAACTCTTCTTTGTCCAATAAACCTTCGTCAAAACCAATAAGCAGCAAATCACGAACGGATTTGAAGGATGCCATTCACATATTTCACAGAAAAGTGGTGAAATTATAACAGTTTTCGGTTGCCGTTGTGCGTGGCGATATCGAACATCTTAACATGGCGGATGTTTACAACACGACGGCGTTCTCTCCCCACGCAATTCCCGGTTTCAGCGTTGCCGTTGCCGCCGGCGATGCGCAATCTTAAAGTCTCTATTATCAATTTCAGAACGTTAGACCTACGAAAGTTTTAGATGCAGCTCAATACTTGGTTCGCACTAGTGAAATATTTAAGAACGAAGGAATACAAGTAATGGATAATTATGTGTCAAATGCAGTCAATAAGGACGAAGAGTGGTCAGAATTTATTACCAAGAATACCAAGGAGACTTCAGATAATCTATCAAATGATTTGAATACTCAAAATCTAGAAACAGTGGAGACACGAGTAAGTAACGACTCCGTTGACAATGACACTGATGATGAATGGTGTGAAGTAACTGAACGACCATCAGGTGTTATGGATACATTATTACAAGAACCTGACATTACTCAAGATGGTGATAAAATAATCAGTTTTGCACCAGGAGAAGGAAATAGACCACTTGGTATATTTATAGATAAAGATGCTGAATTTTTATCTTTCCCTACCATTTACTGTGGCAAACGTCAAGCTGATAACAGTGAAAGACTTGTGCCTGTTCACTATAGTACAATTTGCAAATGGGAATTACGAAGTCGAGATCGAAGAGTTGCTCAACTGTGCCAAATATTTTTTATAAATTAAAAAAATTACAAATCAGACAAATCCAAGGAAGTGCAAGTTTATCACTGCGTAAATGTAAAACCAAAGGTAAAACTTACACAGCAGGAGATTTGAAGTCTGAAAGTTCTGTTAATAAGCTAATCAATTTAGATGAAGGATTCAGAGTTTTAAGAAATTTACGCCGTTCCCCTCCATACTTTGAAAGATGTAAGAAGGATCTATTTGCAATGATTCGTCAGCTTCGTATACCTGCATGGTTCTGTTCATTTTCAGCTGCTGAAACGCGTTGGATTCATTTGATTAAAATTCTTGGTCGTCTTATTGACAACGAACACTATACTGACGATGAGGTTAAGCAAATGACTTGGCAAAAGAAGTCTGAACTGATACAGAAAGATCCAGTAACATGTGCTCGAAATTTTGAACATATGGTGCAACAATTTATTCACAATTTTATTAAAACTTCATGCCATCCAATTGGAGAAGTTGTTGACTTTTTCTATCGTGTTGAATTCCAGCAAAGAGGTTCTCCACATATCCATGGATTATTCTGGATCAAAAATGCACCCGAGTATGGTAAAGATTTCGACGAAGATATTACCAATTTTGTAGATAGCTACGTTTCATGTAAAGCTGACTCAGATGATTTAACTGAACTCGTAAATTTACAAAGGCACAAACACTCCAAAACATGCAAGAAAAGAGGAAATGCTGTCTGCAGATTTAACTTTCCTTTACCGCCAATGCCGAGAACTATGATTTTAGAGCCTTTGTCTGAGACCATAGACAATCCAGAAGACAGGGACTGGAAACGCAAGCGAGAGCGCCTATGATGCTACGTGCCATCCGTGATATGGCTTTAAGCACGTCAATGCATGGGGTTGCCGCGCAACCGTGGTCTTTTTTTTCAGAAAAAGCACAATGCGAATCCTCCGTTATTTTTGTTTATTTTGTGGATAAAAAGTCATTTATATATTCTATTTTTAGTTTATCTTTAAGACAGAGTTATTGTCAAGGTAAGTACGTTTTCATTTTTAATTTTAATTCTATATAGAGGTCATTTAATTCCAGTTTTGTCGAAGCATGTAATCAAAAATGTCGCACGTAAAATTAGGAAGTTGCTGGGAACCCTATATCTGGAGAATGAAGCTACAAATTGTCATTTGAAACATGCCATTATCATCTAAAATGAATCGAGGGTGCATTAGAGCAGTTACAACTACGTGTGATGTGTGAGTCCAGCTTAAACAAGCTTTTTTCACAGTGACTACAAAATTGATGGCTACGTCTATACCCTCACTTTGTAACATGTAACTATTATTTTAGCAAATTACAAGACATTTTATGTAGATGGTTTAAAGGAAAATAATACGGGCTGTGCATTTATCGCTTTTTCCAACTTTTTTTTGCTTTAATGAAGCTTGAAATCACCATTAACTTCGTGCGTAGTATTTTTGACTAAAAAATGTCGCCATTGTTGTTCTCGTAGTATGTGCCTACTAGGAACCCTATAACTTCACTTTTAGCGATTTTCAAAGCATCATTTTTATATATTTCGAACCAGAAAACAATATGCTGTGCATTTTTTGCTTTTTTAATGTTCTTTTTGCTTTAATGAAGCTTAAAATCACCATTAACTTCGTGCGTAGTATTTTTGACTAAAAAATGTCGCCATTGTTGTTCTCGTAGTATGTGCCTACTAGGAACCCTATAACTTCACTTTTAGCGATTTTCAAAGCATCATTTTTATATATTTCGAACCAGAAAACAATAGGCTGTGCATTTGTTGCTTTTTTAATGTTCTTTTTGCTTTAATGAAGCTTAAAATCACCATTAACTTCGTGCGTAGTATTTTTGACTAAAAAATGTCGCCATTGTTGTTCCGTAGTATGTGCCTAGTTGGAACCCTATAATTTCACTTGAAGCGATTTTCAAAGCATCATTTTTATATATTTTGAACCAGAAAACAATGGGCTGTGCATTTGTTGCTTTTTCAATGTTCTTTTTGCTTTAATAAAGCTGAAAATCACCATTAACTTCGTGCGTAGTATTTTTGACAAAAATGCCGCCATTGGCATTGTTGTTCTCGTAGTATGTGCTTTTATTTATAAAACAATACTCACATATTGACTTATACTCGAAACCCCGTACATAAACTTTTTATCTTATAGCTAGTTTAAAGGGATATGCACTTATCGTCTTCAAAACTTCTTTCAGTCATTTGATATTTATATTTAAGCTAAAAATCGCCAATGTCAATAATGAACTGTTTAATAAAATTTTTTACTGATAGATGCCATACAAAAAAGGATTTTCGTCTTTTTTCGAGATTGAAAAAGCATCAGTTTAAAGTAATGAAAAAGGCTAAAAGTACGAAACGAAAACTAAGCAACAATCTAGAAAAGGCCAGAAAGGTATAAAATACTATATTAAATCATACCTAAAATAAATAGTCTGTCTTTAAATTTTGACCAAACAATGGACTGTAAACTACCTTCTGTATATAATCCCACATCAATTGCTTCCATGAGTTCCATCTCTCGAGTAAAATGCTTTCCAATCATAGATATATCTATTCATAATCGAACAGCTATAAACAACTCTTGAAATGTTTTATTCTTTTGTAAAATGTTTCGAAAAATGTTGAATTTTTGTTTAAATGAGCCCGCAAGATCTGCAGCTGGCCGCATCACGGATGGCGCGTGTAAAACATTAGGCGTTTCCAGTCCCTGTCTTCTGGATTGTCTATGATGACACCTATGCGCCTGCGAATGCGGATGAAATTTAGTCTTCCCTAATAGTAATGCTTTCTTTTCCCCTGTGTAAATAGCTGACCGGAATTAGTACCCTCTCGTCGGGAATTAACATACTAAATTTCCGTTTATAAAACTCTTAATAAAATTGCTAACCCCTTACAAAAAATCCACATGAATTCACACATGTGATTTCATGTGAAGTCATGTGAAAACATGTGAAATTATGTGATCTTATGTGACATTTCACATGTGAAAGGATTTCACATGAAATCACATGTGAAATTTCACAAATGAAAGGATTTCACATGAAATCACATGTGACATTTCACATGTGAAAGGATTTCACATGAAATCACATGTGACATTTCACATGTGGAAGGATTTCACATGAAATCACATGTGACATTTCACATGTGAAAGGATTTCACATGAAATCACATGTGAAATTTAACATGTGAAAAAACTTCACATGAAATTACATGTGACATTTCACATCTGAAAAAATGTCACATGAAATCACATGTGAAATTTAACATGTGAAAAAACTTCACATGGAATCACATGTGACATTTCAGATGTGGAAGGATTTCACATGAAATTACAAGGGAAATTTCACATGTGAAATGATTTCAGGTGAAATCACATCTGACATTTCACACGTGAAAGGATTTCACATGAAATTACAAATTACAATATGATGATACAAGTGAAATTTCTTATGTGAAAGATTTCACATAAAGTAAAAAGTGAAATTTCACATGTGAAATATTTCACATGAAGTAAAAAGTGAAATTTCACATGTGAAATATTTCACATGAGGTAAAAAGTGAAATTTCACATAAAGTTACAAACGAAGTTTCGTATGTGATTTAAAGGATTTCACGTGTTATAATAATTTTATATGAACCTATAGAAGTAAAATTTCATAGGTGAAAGGATTTCACATTAAGTAAAAAGTGAAATTTCACGTGTGAAACGATTTCACATAAAATCGCACATGTAACCCCCCATGGGAAAACGTACGTCAACGGTTTTCCGTTTAAATGAAAAAAAAAATACGGATAGCTAGCAAACGGTAAGAAAACGTTTTTTATAATACGTTTTAATAGCTAGTAATCGTTCGCTATTTAAACAGATGGCGAACGGCCGCATAAACGTCTTTTATATCTGTTAATTTTAAACCTTAGCTATATATATGGTATGTACGTTTTCCGATGGACAGTCACACATGAAGTTCTATATCTGAAACTCTAAATAAAAGGTCCATGGTTAGTAATATATCACACAATTAAACCTTTATTCCTAAAATACAAAATATGTACATTACCATTAACATTCATGGACACGTACCAGATATTAATGGAGTACTCAGTCTCTGTCCACAGTATTTGGTAGTTTACAATAAAAGTACTCTTCCTCACTATCATCTGCAATAACTGCAAATTTGTCCTGAATAGTGTTCAGTTCCACAATTGCCAACGCATCAGACGTCTCCTGAAGCTTTCTAATGTGACTGCACAAGTTGCCACATCCACTCTCGAAACTCTCCAGTGCATCTGAAAGTTGTACCTCTCGTCCAAAAGCAATGCTAATAATATCATCACATCCTTCAAACCGGATTATAACAAATACATCTAGTTCAAATGTCAAATAGTTTTCGGTTCCAATGATGTAATTTTTTCTTCTTGACTGCCGCTTATATTTAGTGCAATGGAATACGTTCCCATTCACAATGGCTTTCGTGAAGAATTATCCATCATTTTCAACATCATTCCTTTGGTGTAGCTCCTCAACAAGGTACTTTTCCTCAATTGTTAGTGGTTTTGAATATGACGCCCCCAAGAAGGTAATGTTTTGTTCCATCTTTTTGGCCTTTTTCAGTGGTGTGTAGCCTTGGAGTTGGTCATTCATGAAGGAGAAGATGTTATCAGTGAGGGGATCTTCAGTTGCCTCGCCAGTACTGCAAATTATAGACAACTCTTTGTACATGAGGAAAGAGTTGGCAATCTGATGAGGAACTGCTTGAGTTCCATGGAACAAGCTCAGGAGTACCATATTAAATCCCTCGAAAATATAGGAGGAATAGCATGGCAATGGACCCCAATCAATCACTGCTTGCACCAGATGAGTCAGCTGATGGACATTGTATGTCATGTGCTTCTTTCCATACAACAACTGGAACTTCTGAGTAAACTGCGACAAGCAATGGGCGGCCTTGTCGAGGTCAGCAGAGCTGATACTTGACTTGGTTAGCAAGTAAAAGCCTTGCACCAAAACAAGTAAATGTTTAAAATACCGTTGTGGAAGCAATCCACGCAGGACAACTGGTGAATATAAGGGCAACCACCAGTGCCACTCAGAACCTTTCCAAAACGCTCTCTGCGTAATTGATCTTGGAACCCTTGTAACCTCTTGTGGTGGCATTACGCGTTTCAATCTTGAATCGATAACTGGTATGTGTTTGCCAAGATACCATGGTTCGTTATGATTGTTCGAGTCAAACCATAGATGTACTAGTTGTCTTGTAACGCCTAAATATATGCAGTGGAGATTGTCCACCACAAATCCTCTTACAATGTCAAAATTGGGCAAATCAGCCAGTTTGGTTGGCCCTTTCACGCATTCACTGGTTCTTTCTTACGGAACGCCAATCGACCATTCTTCTTCAGTTGTTCATGTGTTCTTAAGTCCGGTTGTTGCGCTTCTTCTGGGTAAACTCTGCAATGACCGCGTCCTTTTTCAATCGATTCCCCTGGATTTTCACACCAACTGCAACCGTACAAACCATTAAATTGAAGGATATTCTGCAATACACACCTTGCCACGCTGTCACACGAGCAAATGCATGCAAAAACTCGTGAACAAACAGTCACACCACCACGGACCCATCTCATTCCAACATTGCTCAATTTTTCCAACTCCTCGGTAAAAGGCTTAAGGAACGTAGTCATAACGGGTTTACCAGTTCCAAACCATAGACCAATTAAGAAAATGTTTTCTTTTCTTTGCTTCGGTGGCAGTTCATTCAAAATCTCTTGCAGTGGCCAAATTCCAAAGTTGGAAGACTTGAAAATAGGTACTCCATCACAGTTGAATGAAACACTTAGGGCATTTGGATCTCACATCAGTAAACCTCCAACCATAGATTTGTATAATTCGCCATCAAAAATGCCCTCAATAGCTGAAGAGGATATTTTCTTCCTTGTAAATCTGTATGCAAGGTTTAAAGTGTCACCACACTTCGTGAACAAATCACGTATCTGCTTTTCCAGGGGCAAATAAATGAAAAAGTTTCCATCCCGTAGCAGCACATCCTTTCGATATAAGACATTACATAACGTGCATTCAAGGCCTTCAATCCCTGTCAGTAAAGCGTTGCAAATTGGGCAGTACAGTTTAAACTGAACACCGTCCTTAAAAGGATTAAAATGCTTATCAAAAAGATACCTTGTCTTGGGAAGTCGGGAGTCAGCTGGCAACAATGCAGCTACAATCATGGCCAAATGTTGTGGAACGCAAAGTGAGATTTCATGTTTTTACCTTTAATTTGAATTACCTCTGTCCCCTATTCAATGTTGTTTGGGATTATTTTCCGCTCGGAATAAGCATCACACAATCTCATCCATCAACGCTAGGAACAACATTGGAAAGGGGGTTCGGGGGAGTTCATTTTTTGCCAAATCTGTGAAAATATTACAACTCGCGCGCCTTTATAACTACTAATTAGCATGCGTTTCACAAACTTTTGGTCATGATTGTCTGAAAGTTTGACTATATTCAATTTGTGTTTTTATTTATTCAAAAAACAAGAAAAAGCTTTCACATAACTTATATTATATTACGACATATATTTAGGTAATATTTAACTGCATTAAATTGAATAATATTTCATTTTGTGCACTTCCGGTTGTTGTCATATTGCCACTACGATCACATTGAATTATCAAATACACTGGAATAAAGTTCGTATATTACACATGGCTTCGTTAAATGAGAAACATCAACGATTGATATATCTCATTACATATAGCAGGGCCAATACAGCTATTTTCAACACAAGACAACGCTTTGCAGACGCAGTGACAGAAGCGTGGAGAAATGCTGGCGTGAGATTGCAACACTGGGTTGTGTCGATGGAGGGTCATGCTATAACTGATTCTGAACAAGAAATGAACGAGTACCATTATCATATGGCAGTAAAGTTAACAAAGAAAGCCCGATGGTTACAGATAAGGAACTATCTTGATCACAAGTACGGTATTAAAGTTAACTTTAGTGACTTACATAATACGTACTATAGTGCATATGGGTATGTTACCAAAGAAGATCCACAACCATGTCATTCACATGATCATCCAGATTTGTCGACAAGGCCAAGAACTGAAAACGCAATAGCCGCCAGAAAAAGGAAATCTAGGCAGACTACGACGAAAGGAAAGAAAAAGAACCGCCGAGAGAGGGGTTTGACGGTTTATGAGGTGTCCCAGGTCATTGAAAAGAAGAATATTACAAAGCGAGCAGAGCTTGTTTGTTTAGCCGTTGAGCAGAAACGAGAAGGCAATACACGGCTCGCAGAATTTATTGCCAATCGTGGGGCTAAAGCGGTGGATGAAGCGTTATCCGTTGGTAAGGAATTTCGAGAAGCCGAGGCCAAGGCAATACGCGCAAAGAAAACAAGAATCGAAATCCTTCAGGAAGCTACAGGCTTAACATGTGTCCATCAACGTGAAGGACAGTGGCTGGAAGCTGCGTTGGAACTGATGCGCCTAAACCAAATTGATGTCTCAGCGTTCTGTGCTGCGATTTATAACGCGCTCCAAAACGGACGAGGAAAATATCAAAATATTTTTGTCTACGGCCCTGCGAACAGTGGTAAAACGTTTATACTGTCGCCCATGAAATTCATTTACCGCGCTTTCTGTAATCCGGCAACCGGGACATTTGCATGGCTTGGTGTCGATGAGGCAGAGGTCATTCTATTAAATGACTTCAGATGGAATCCGGCCATTATCGCATGGGCAGATCTTTTACAAGCTCTAGAAGGAGATGTTGTCCATTTCCCAGCGCCAAAAAATTTTTGTCAACGAGATATAGAGATGTCTTCAGATACTCTATTCTTTGCCACGTCTGATACCCCTATGGCTTTAGTTAAAGCAGGATCGTTAGACCGGGTAAATACTGAAATGATGGACGTGCGATGGCGGTTTTTCCATTTTTGGAGACAGATTGACCAAAATAATCAAGTCAAGATGTCTCCTTGCGCCAAGTGCTTTTCAACATTTGTGTTAGATAATGTTGACATATAATACTATGGATTTTATAGAACTTTCTACACGAAAGCAGACGATTGCACTGTTATGTTTCGAATTATTAATGTGACGTATGATCGGTTTATAACTGTCAACACTGTCTGTGAAATATAGCATTTAATTACTAATTAGTTCACGTCCGTATAAGTTGTATAACCGCACATTTCTCACTCAGAAATCATAAAAAAATAAGACGAATCTACCATTGAACATCGAAAAATTATACCTACTGTTGAGTTAATGGTTATCCGCACACTACAATTACTTTTTAGGGCAAAATATAATTTGTTTATGACATTTTCGACATTTCTCACCACAAATTCCATATAAGTTTGTAAACAATGCACATTTTATAGTGGGATTTGAGTGAGCACTGTTAAAAATCGTATTAAAATCCTTCGAATCACGGCGTTCTTCGTTTCGGTATAAAAACCAAGTCGCACAATAATGAACTCAATGCAATGTAGGTTAAGATTTCTTTGATACAAGTTACAAAGAACGATTTTTTGTGTGAGCACTGTTGACAAGAAATATTATCGGACAATTATTGAGACTACATATATTAATACGTTACTATTAATAATACGTTAATTGGTATTAAAGTTAAGTAAATTGATGCCTAAATATTATTCAGTATTTTGTTCTATATCCCTTTGACGAAATCATTTTATTTATTCGCTTGCTCATACTATCAATTGTTTTATCAATAATGTCGATAGGGAATGTTCGCAATACTTGAAGAACTCGAGTTTGAAACTGTTCGTAAGATTCACTGGTGATATTTTCTGTTACTGCCTGTTTATTCAACTGAGATTTAACAAGATGGAATATATTCTCAATCGGATTTATATCAGGCGAACGTGCAGGAATTTTAAGCATTTCTGCCTCGACTTGACCAAGTGATGCCATAGCGACTTTGCTTGTCTGGCATGGGCAATTGTCCATTATAAATAACCGTCTACCGCCGTGTTTAGACTCGGCCTTACCAAAACATAAATTGAATTTTTTTCTGATAAAATTCGCAAAAAATTGCCCATCCATTTTGGTATAAGGTTCGTTTAAAATTACTCCTTTTCCATAGGACACGGCAACAAGGACGTGGACTCTACGACCACCTGGTAACTCTTTCGATCCTTTTGCGGTAAACTTCAGTCACTCGCCCCGTTTACGCCAAACTTTCGAATTGCTACTGCCAGCGTTGCTCATTGGATTGTATTTGTGGACGAAAGACACACCGTCCAAATAAAATGCCACCTCGTTTTTCGAAAAATTGGAATTTCGTTTGAGTTCCTTTTTTATTTTATAACCAAAGTTCTTCCTAATTTTTCTATCTTTCTCGCTCAGTAAGCCTTTCTTTCTTCTTTGGAAATATCCATAGCCATTTTCGTTCAGAATACGCGAAAACGTTCTTCGGCTAGCCATATTTAAACTGAGACCACTCTCTGCGACCAAAGGTTTGACAGTGAAAGCAACACGTGTGTCCCCCAATGACTGTAAGCAACGGATTAGTTTCCGAGTAGATCTTTCATCTACCTTCCTGGGTCTTCCCATTTTCTTTTTTTTCGTTCTACACGTCTTTTTTGGTTGGCATATACGATGGCATGACGACTTCGAAACTTTGCATTGTTTTGCAATTTTTCCAAATGATTTTTTCGATTCATTTCTTAAAGACATTATATACGCTCTCTTTTCTGGGCATATTGCTTTTGGTGACATTATTTTATTGATAGACTCATTAGCTAACGTTTCCACAAAATTATGTGTGAAGACAACTCCAGTGTAGTGCAGAGCAGAACACGCAATATACTAATTAATGTTATAATTACACAAATCTAGTGATGTCATGAAGTACCGACTGAGGAAAACGATCTGATTTATAAGATAAGATAGAATTTATGTTTGTGGAAACACCAAATATAAAGCTTTCGACGTGTATGACCGAATTATGCACTGCTTCATACCTGACAATTTGCGCAATCATTTTACCAGGACGAATACTTATCTAATACGCACAAGTTGTACTATATTTCTTTCTAAAATATAGAAATATGTATATTTTCGAGTATTTGGTATACTTTTAACAAAAAAATGTTCGTGGCAGCACTGATTTTACGATCGCGTATTTTCAGACTGTCTGAAAGTGTGACTATATTCAATTTGTGTTTTTATTTATTCAAAAAACAAGAAAAAGCTTTCACATAACTTATATTATATTACGACATATATTTAGGTAATATTTAACTGCATTAAATTGAATAATATTTCATTTTGTGCACTTCCGGTTGTTGTCATATTGCTACTACGATCACATTGAATTATCAAATACACTGGAATAAAGTTCGTATATTACACATGGCTTCGTTAAATGAGAAACATCAACGATTGATATATCTCATTGCATATAGCAGGGCCAATACAGCTATTTTCAACACAAGACAACGCTTTGCAGATGCAGTGACAGAAGCGTGGAGAAATGCTGGCGTGAGATTGCAACACTGGGTTGTGTCGATGGAGGGTCATGCTATAACTGATTCTGAACAAGAAATGAACGAGTACCATTATCATATGGCAGTAAAGTTAACAAAGAAAGCCCGATGGTTACAGATAAGGAACTATCTTGATCACAAGTACGGTATTAAAGTTAACTTTAGTGACTTACATAATACGTACTATAGTGCATATCGGTATGTTACCAAAGAAGATCCACAACCATGTCATTCACATGATCATCCAGATTTGTCGACAAGGCCAAGAACTGAAAACGCAATAGCCGCCAGAAAAAGGAAATCTAGGCAGACTACGACGAAAGGAAAGAAAAAGAACCGCCGAGAGAGGGGTTTGACGGTTTATGAGGTGTCCCAGGTCATTGAAAAGAAGAATATTACAAAGCGAGCAGAGCTTGTTTGTTTAGCCGTTGAGCAGAAACGAGAAGGCAATACACGGCTCGCAGAATTTATTGCCAATCGTGGGGCTAAAGCGGTGGATGAAGCGTTATCCGTTGGTAAGGAATTTCGAGAAGCCGAGGCCAAGGCAATACGCGCAAAGAAAACAAGAATCGAAATCCTTCAGGAAGCTACAGGCTCACCATGTGTCCATCAATGTGAAGGACAGTGGCTGGAAGCTGCGTTGGAACTGATGCGCCTAAACCAAATTGATGTTTCAGCGTTCTGTACTGCGATTTATAACGCGCTCCAAAACGGACGAGGAAAATATCAAAATATTTTTGTCTACGGCCCTGCGAACAGTGGTAAAACGTTTATACTGTCGCCCTTGAAATTCATTTACCGCGCTTTCTGTAATCCGGCAACCGGGACATTTGCATGGCTTGGTGTCGATGAGGCAGAGGTCATTCTATTAAATGACTTCAGATGGAATCCGGCCATTATCGCATGGGCAGATCTTTTACAAGCTCTAGAAGGAGATGTTGTCCATTTCCCAGCGCCAAAAGATTTTTGTCAACGAGATATAGAGCTGTCTTCAGATACTCTATTCTTTGCCACGTCTGATGCCCCTATGGCTTTAGTTAAAGCAGGATCGTTAGACCGGGTAAATACTGAAATGATGGACGTGCGATGGCGGTTTTTCCATTTTTGGAGACAGATTGACCAAAATAATCAAGTCAAGATGTCTCCTTGCGCCAAGTGCTTTTCAACATTTGTGTTAGATATAATGTTGACATATAATATTATGGATTTTATACAACTTTCTACACGAAAGCAGACGATTGCACTTTTATGTTTCGAATTATTAATGTGACGTATGATCGGTTTATAACTGTCAACACTGTCTGTGAAATATAGCATTTAATTACTAACTAGTTCACGTCCGTATAAGTTGTATAACCGCACATTTCTCACTCAGAAATCATAAAAAAATAAGACGAATCTACCATTGAACATCGAAAAATTATACCTACTGTTGAGTTAATGGTTATCCGCACACTACAATTACTTTTTAGGGCAAAATATAATTTGTTTATGACATTTTCGACATTTGTCACCACAAATGCCATATAAGTTTGTAAACAATGCACATTTTATAGTGGGATTTGAGTGAGCACTGTTAAAAATCGTATTAAAATCCTTCGAATCACGGCGTTCTTCGTTTCGGTATAAAAACCAAGTCGCACAATAATGAACTCAATGCAATGTAGGTTAAGATTTCTTTGATACAAGTTACAAAGAACGATTTTTTGTGTGAGCACTGTTGACAAGAAATATTATCGGACAATTATTGAGACTACATATATTAATACGTTACTATTAATAATACGTTAATTGGTATTAAAGTTAAGTAAATTGATGCCTAAATATTATTCAGTATTTTGTTTTATATCCCTTTGACGAAATCAATTTATTTATTCGCTTGCTCATACTATCAATTGTTTTATCAATAATGTCGATAGGGAATGTTCGCAATACTTGAAGAACTCGAGTTTGAAACTGTTCGTAAGATTCACTGGTGATATTTTCTGTTACTGCCTGTTTATTCAACTGAGATTTAACAAGATGGAATATATTCTCAATCGGATTTATATCAGGCGAACGTGCAGGAATTTTAAGCATTTCTGCCTCGACTTGACCAAGTGATGCCATAGCGACTTTGCTTGTCTGGCATGGGCAATTGTCCATTATAAATAACCGTCTACCGCCGTGTTTAGGCCCGGCCTTACCAAAATATAAATTGAATTTTTTTCTGATAAAATTCGCAAAAAATTGCCCATCCATTTTGGTATAAGGTTCGTTTAAAATTACTCCTTTTCCATAGGACACGGCAACAAAGACGTGGACTCTACGACCACCTGGTAACTCTTTCGATCCTTTTGCGGTAAACTTCAGTCACTCGGCCCGTTTACGCCAAACTTTCGAATTGCTACTGCCAGCGTTGCTCATTGGATTGTATTTGTGGACGAAAGACACACCGTCCAAATAAAATGCCACCTCGTTTTTCGAAAAATTGGAATTTCGTTTGAGTTCCTTTTTTATTTTATAACCAAAGTTCTTCCTAATTTTTCTATCTTTCTCGCTCAGTAAGCCTTTCTTTCTTCTTTGGAAATATCCATAGCCATTTTCGTTCAGAATACGCGAAAACGTTCTTCGGCTAGCCATATTTAAACTGAGACCACTCTCTGCGACCAAAGGTTTGACAGTGAAAGCAACACGTGTGTCCCCCAATGACTGTAAGCAACGGATTAGTTTCCGAGTAGATCTTTCATCTACCTTCCTGGGTCTTCCCATTTTCTTTTTTTTCGTTCTACACGTCTTTTTTGGTTGGCATATACGATGGCATGACGACTTCGAAACTTTGCATTGTTTTGCAATTTTTCCAAATGATTTCTTCGATTCATTTCTTAAATACATTATATACGCTCTCTTTTCTGGGCATATTGCTTTTGGTGACATTATTTTATTGATAGACTCATTAGCTAACGTTTCCACAAAATTATGTGTGAAGACAACTCCAGTGTAGTGCAGAGCAGAACACGCAATATACTAATTAATGTTATAATTACACAAATCTAGTGATGTCATGAAGTACCGACTGAGGAAAACGATCTGATTTATAAGATAAGATAGAATTTATGTTTGTGGAAACACCAAATATAAAGCTTTCGACGTGTATGACCGAATTATGCACTGTTTCATACCTGACAATTTGCGCAATCATTTTACCAGGACGAATACTTATCTAATACGCACAAGTTGTACTATATTTCTTTCTAAAATATAGAAATATGTATATTTTCGAGTATTTGGTATACTTTTAACAAAAAAATGTTCGTGGCAGCACTGATTTTACGATCGCTTATTTTCAGACAATCATGGCCAAAGGTTGTGGAACGCAAAGTGAGATTTCATGTTTTTACCTTTAATTTGAATAATAACCCCCCCGTCCCCCCTATTCAATGTTGTTTGGGATTATTTTCCACTCGGAATAAGCATCACACAATCTCATTCATCAACGCTAGGAACAACATTGGAAAGGGGGTTCGGGGGAGTTCATTTTTTGCGAAATCTGTGAAAATATTATAACTCCGCGCTCCTTTATAACTACTAATTAGCATGCGTTCCACAAACTTTTGGCCATGATTGTAGCAATCTCAGGAGGTTTCCAACAGCAGCGCCAGAAAGATTATGTCCAAGTATAAAAGCCATAATCAACAACAAACTTTGACCAACAGTCACACTAGCTCCATCATAGAGTGGTTCATCAACGTCAGATTGATTATTCTCAATTTCCTGAATTGAAGAAACACAATTTTTTAAATTATATTTAGTAATATGCAAATAATTTAATGGTTAGGGAGGTGCACGACTTTTGAGTTTTGTTTTAATAAACCCTCCACCCATTTGACAGTTCCAATTCCTCTTTGACAAGTAATATTGTCTGGCATAATAAAGTTAACTAGTTAAAAAACAAATTACAGTATTAAACACAATTTCACTTGATTTATGGGTCCCTTGACAATAAAAATATGGACAATAACAACCAGGAAGGTATTTGAAACATACATTAACATCATGTGATTCATCAGTGTGCTCTTTGCAATCATCTTCTTGGTTCAAGCCATTCTCTTCTTGGAAACGATCTTCAATTCCAAATATGTTGAAGTCTAAACCTAAAAGGCATGAATGCATATAAAATATAGCTTACGGTACCGGTAAAAATTTGTGTAAGCTTAGGCGTAAAAAAAAATACCTGTGGTTCCGGTTCCCGACCGACCCTATTTTATTCTGCCGACCCTATTATTTTTTTCAACGCGATTGACCGTGCGACCCTATTTTTTCCAGGTGGTTGCGGGCTGCTCGTACAGCGTGCCAAAATGGCGTCTGTTGTCACACTAATTATTGAACCAAATTGCCTAAATTCGTCCATAGGAAATACTCAACTGCAAATCGCCCAGCAAAAAACCGCCAAAACCATGAAAAAAAATATTCAAAAAAAAAATTATTGCCGACCTACCGACCCTAATTTTTTCACGATATGAAACCGGAACCACAGGTACTTTTTTTACGCCTTACTAACCACAGTAGGGGCTAAATCAAATACACTGTAAGCCTATTATGGTTTTTAGTACTGTAGGGCTCTAGTCGATAATAAAAAAGGAAAAATAATAATAAAATAAATATATATTAAGTAAAAAAGGGCCTTCCACTGGGCAGGCTACACTGTATAATGATTTGTGTCAAATGTTGCACCTTGGTCAACTTAAAACCCCAGAGTAAGTCGAGTAACACACCCTGATTCACATTGACACAACATTAACTTGAACTGGCATAGTTTAAATTAACTGGGATCTTGTTACAGCAACTGCTGATTAACTCTCCTTGGCAAGCTAGTAAAATTGTCTGGCTTTATAGCCTGAGTATAGCCCCTTTTCATGAGCCAGGAGTTTAAAGAACCCATGGGGTTTATTTTTATTGCATTCACATGAACCCAGGTTGCTGCATTAGTAATGAACCCAGGTTGACATGAATGGAGGTACAGTGGTGTACTGTGGAATTCTTTCCATACATATCTCTTTCATTACAAGAGGTTTTACCCATATATGCATGTGTTCTCAACCATCAATCAACTACTGTATGTTAGCGGGGGACCAGCCAATACCCAAGTTTACATGAAGAAATATGCACAATTTTCTCAAGAAGGGTGACCCGGGCTATTGTATAAACGCTAATAGAGATTTATTTGCAGCGCTCTAACCAACTGAGCTACAAAGGCTAGCTGTTAAGCTGTAATCGTAAGTTCATGTATATATAGGTAATCGGGTGTGCGGGTTGTGATAAGGTGGACTTCATGACTTAGATTCTTGCACTTCACTTGTCTTAAAATGTATATATTCTCACTTGGATTCCAAACCCTAACATTCTAATATTAATTCCACCAAGTGAAGTGCAAGAATCTAAGTTATGAAGTCCACCTTATCACAACCCGCACACCCGATTACCTATATATACATGAACTTACGGTTACAGCTTAACAGCTGGCCTTTGTAACTCAGTTGGTTAGAGCGCTGCACCGGAATCGCAGGGCCGTAGGTTCAATTCCTACCAGAGGACCTTATGCTGCATTTTTCGCAGACGTTCCTGGTTAGGTCTTAAAATGTATATATTCTCACTTGGATTCCAAACCATAACATTCTAATTCTAATATTAATTCCACCAAGTGAAGTGCAAGAATCTAAGTCATGAAGTCCACCTATTTTCATATATAACACTAAAATTCAAACATTTTTTTATCAATGTTTCCATGACCAGTTTTATTACGAGCCTGCATCTTGCCGACACGTCCAAATACTTCATGTATATCTACTATATAGACCTGAAGAGGAACCAAACTTTAGTACTATGTACTGCATCTTCAAATCAAAGCATTTCCTTGTCAATTTTTCCTAGAGCTGCTCCCATCAGTTAATTTTCGTAATCGATTAATCGTTGTCAACAATCGATTAATATCGATTAATTGTATTGATAATTAATTTAAACATGAAAAGCCCATGGTGGTTTGACAGGTTTCTAAATTGCAATATGAATATGCTTTACTAATTTTTTGGGGGGTTTCATCAGTCATGCAGTATAAACATTGTAAATCTGTGTTTAAAATGAACGTAAAATCACAATTACAGATTGCGCACGTTCTCGCGCTCTTACACTTCACATAAGAGACATGCATTAAAAGACAGAAAGGATATTAAGGATGTTTACTTTAGTTGTTTA